ATTCTTCACTTACTCCTCTATCTNGCATAGCTTTTCTCTAGATCCTTCTCTACATCATTAGGTAACTACCTAACATTAAATTCATCAAATTGACATCACATTAACATCCAATTATATTCAATTCACCAAACTAAAATTAGATTCATGTTCAATTCCATCCCATTAACAATTAAATAATCAATTTGACATTCAGTTGCATCAAATTCTAATTCATAGATTATACATTAAATTTAATTCAACTAATATTCTATTCATCAAATTATCACCAAATTTCGTAATTTAACCTTCAATTCTACTAAATTTGCATTCAATTTAATTCCATTAACATTTAATTCATCTAATACACATTCAAAATGACCTTAAATTTCTTCATATTAATATTCAATTTATCAAATTGACATTCAATTTCATACAATTAACAATAAATTTATCAAATTAACATTTAGTTTCATCAAACTAACATTCAATTCATTAGATTATCACAAAAAATAATCAATTTAACATTTGATTCTCAGTTTTTGTGAAATTGAATTTTGAATTGATGAAATTAAATATTAATTTGGCGTTTATTTGATGAATTGGATCTCAATTGGATAAAATTGAATGTCAAATTCGTGAATGTTAATGTTAATTTAGTAAAATTGACTGTCAATTTGGTGTTATTTTTATGAAATTGAATTGTAAAAAATAAAATTGAAGATTAATTTTGTGTTAATTTGAAGAAATTAATTTTTTATTGATGAAATTGAATATTAATTTATGTTAATTTAATGAATTGAATCTTAATCGGATGAAATTGATTGTCAATTTACTGAATTTTGATATTAATGTGATAAAATTGACAATTAATTTGGTGTTGATTTAATGAAATCAAATGTTAATTTAGTGTTGATTTAATGAATTGATCATCAAATTGGATGCAATTGATTGTTAACTTGATAAAATTGTCTGTCAATTTGGTATAAATTTGATGAAATTGAATTTAAATAAGTAAAATTAAAGGTGAATTTGATATTAATTTGATGAAATTGGATTTTAATAAATAAAGTTTACAGTGAATTTGATATTAATTTGATGAAATTAAAATTTGAAGTGATGATATCGAATGTTAATTTAGTGTTGATTTAATGGATTGGATCTCAATTGGATGAAATTGAATGTTAATTTGATAAAATTGGCTGTTTGTATGGTGTTAAATTTATAAAATTATAAATAAAATAAATTGGAGGCAAATTTATTTTTAATTTGGTGAAATTTTATTGTAATTGAATGAATTAAATGTCAATTTGGTGTTTATTTAGATAAAATTAAATTTTAAATTTTAAATTTTAGAATTTCAATGTTAGTTTGATAAAATTGATAGTAAATTTGGTTTTATTTGGAAGAAATTGAATTTTAATAAATAAAATTGAAGGTGAATTTAGTATTAATTTGATGAATATGCATTTTAAATTGGTGAAATTGAATGTTAATTTGGAGTTAATTTGATGAAAATAAACATTAAATTCATCAATTTTAATGTTTATTTAATAAAATAAACAGTCATTTTGGTGTTAATTTTATGAAATCCAAGCTTAATAAATAAAATTAAAGGTTAATTTTGTATTAAATTTGGTGAAAGTAAATTTCAATTGATGAAATTGAATGATTATTCAGTTTTAATTTGATAAAATAAAATATTAATTATATTAATTCGAATGTTGCAACCTTTTGGTGTTGCTAGCATTATTTGGAATATATCAAAATTATTATTATTTTTTCTATTAACAATGTTTGTGATCTATCCCCAAAGTTTGAGATTTATCACAAAGTTGCAGTAGTCTCTCCCAAAAATGGTTTTCCTCATTCAAATTTGGAAACCTAAAGGTAGAAATCAAATTTAAAATTTAATTTCATCGAATGTTACTTTGATGTTTATTTGGATGAAATTAAATTTTAAATTTTGAAATTTCAATGTTAATTTAATAAAATTGAAAGTCATTAAATTCATGAATTTTAATGTTTAGTTAATAAAATAGGCGGTCAATTTGGTGTTAATTTTATGAAATCAAAGTTTAGAAATAAAATTAAAGGTATTTTTTATTAATTTAGCGAAAGTGAATTTTGCGATCTATCCTAATTATTTTTATTTGGAATATATCACTATTATTATTGTTATTTTGAATATATAAAAATTATTATTTTTTATCTCCAAAATATTTGCGATCTATTCTAAGATTTTATAATCTATTGCAAGGTTGAAGTAGTCTCCCCCAAAATTGTCTGAAAAAATAATAAGCTTGTGATCGATCACCAGTCAATAGAGTGAGATTTAACTAAATTGTGGGCAATTTAACACAATTCAGGACAAATTTATCACTTTTGGGGGGTCAATTTACAATAATTATGGATAAATTTACAAGTTTTGAGGTTAATTTACGACTGTTTTGATTAATATTACGATTGTTTTTCAATATTTGTTAAAGTTTTACTAGCAAATTGGTTAAATTTTGCTCACTATTGTAGTAATTTTATCCATTACTATAGTAAATTTTTCATTGATGTTGTAATCTTATTTGCTATTGTTGTAAATTTTTTACTATTGTGGTAATTTTGTCAACTACTATTGTAAATTTTTCACAAATATTGTAATTTTGTATGTTACTGTAGTAAATTTCTCATTGATGTTGTAATTTTGTCTTTAATGTATAATTACTTGATCAATCAATCAATATTAGCGATTGATCACAAACTCACTAAATATAGTTATGATACTTCAAATGGTAGTTAAAATTTGCCCATTATTATAGTAAATTTTCATTGATGTTTTAATTTTGCTCACTATTGTTATAAAATTTCTACTGATGCTGTAATTTTGCCCACTATTGTGGTAATTTTGCTCTGTACTATTGTAAATTTTTCACTAATGTTGTAAATTTTTGAATGATATTGTAATTCTTGCCACTATTGTGGTAATTTTGCTGTTGTAAATTTTTCATTAATGTTGTAATTTTGTCCACTATTATTATAAATTTTTCATTAATGTTATAATTTTGCCCTCAATATGCAACTATTTGATCGATCAGTTAATATTAGTGATTGATCATAAACCCACAAAATATAGTTCTTGTACTTCAAATGGTGGTAAAAAGTTTGTCCACTATTATAGTAATTTTGCCAATTACTGTAATAAATTGTTCATTAATGTTATAATTTTATCAACTATTGTTGCAAATTTTTTACTGATGTAATTTTAACCACTATTGGTAATTTTGTCCATTACTATTGTAAATTTTACCATCAATTGTCTTAATCGCAGCTTTTTAATATGGTACCGAATTATTCCATTTCGGTATCGTACTCTCCCTAATGTTTAGGATTTTGTATTTGATGGAATCTATATACTTGTACCATTTTAGATTTTTATACAAATATCATACACCAGGTAACCTTGAGCTCAGCTAGGCTTGAAGGTGAAGATTAGCTGAATATTTGATGAACTACAAAGATGTATAGCCACGTAGGACATGCCCTAACCTGAGATTTTGTATATTCCTATTAACGTCGGATCCATGGTTCAAGGTCGAGGTATTATTTATTGATTTAGAAGGTTTTGAGACATAATAGTCGTGGCATGGTATTAGATGATACAATCTAAAAAAAATGTTGAATATGACGAGAGATTCAAGTGATCATATCGCGGCATCACGGATCTGTATCGACAGATTTGGTGATGATAATTCGGCGACTTTGATTGGCTCAGATACAATTTAAACAACTTAGCTGACTTGTGCGCGATTTGGGATTTATACGTATTGTATAACAGTATCGTCTTGAAAAGTCTGACTCAGCCGACTGGTATCAATATCGGCCGACACTTTGAACCAAAACGTTTACCCTGTATTGACCCTATGACCACCATTTAGGTGTTGTGAAAAAAATTGAAAATTGAAAATTGAAAATTGAATGTTGAATTTTTTAATTTTTAAATTATTTTGTATCTACTAAAATTGAATATTGAATTGAATTAAACTATTTAATAAGTATAAAGAGCTAAAGTCTAAAAACAAATAATTTTTAAATTTTATCTTTTCGCTCTTTACTTTAAAATTATTTATCAAATATGTATCTATCTAATAAAACTATCACATATCACCAAAAGTAATTCATAATATGAATTATAATTATTGTTTTCACATTGTAGTCTAACATTTAGCAAATATGATAATAAAATTAATTAAAGTTAAATTGATCACTAAAAAATGTTATAAATTGGTAATAATGTGAACTTGACCGAAATTATCATTCATTTTTTCATCATAAATTGAAGCATATAAGGTGCAAAGTGTTTTGAACATGTGGGTAAGATATGTCCACCGCTCTAGGTTGTCGTTTGTGATCAATTTGACACCATTTTATTGTATCGAAAATAGGGTTTTATTGATCAGATAGAGACTAACCTTATTTTTTGCAACTTAAATGAGGTGCCAACAGTCTGTAACGGAAAACTTGCAATAAAGGTGTTTCAATTTATAACAGAAAATTGAATAGTAGTCTGAGCCAGATCAATATTACTATTAATTCACAACATTGAGGATACAAATTGAGAATTGAAGTATCTTTTAAAGTACAAAGTGAGATTAGCTCTAGAAAAAAATGATTAGTTTTGAAATTTTTTACACTAATTTAATTCAAAATAAATATTTAATACCAATTCAAAATGACAAGATTTGGACATGAACACCATCTTCTATTTGAAACCTAGTTTGGGTTGGACTAGTTTTAACCTTTTAAAACTGAATTTGGGTTGGCCCAGATTCAAATCAACGTAGTCCGGGTGTTTCAATTATTGGGCCTTTTAAAGGCCCTCATTTCCAGGTCGTAAGGCCGTACGGAGAAGAAATACAGAGCTCCGTTTCTTACACGAGAGAGCGAGAGCGAGAGCGAGAGAGAGACGAAAAGGAGGGACTGTGCTGGAATTATAACTGGTTTGAGAGAGACAGAGAGAGAGAGAGAGAGAGATGGGTGGGGGAGTGAGAAGAACATTGAAGAAGGGTTTAGGAGAGATGGGGTTCGCCGTCGGTGGTGGAACCGTCAACTGGTTCCCTGGCCACATGGCTGCAGCCACTCGAGCCATTCGCGACCGCCTCAAGCTCGCCGACCTCGTCATCGAAGTCCGCGACGCCCGCGTACGCTTCCTGTCTCCCTCTCTAAAACCATTTGTCTCTGCTACAGTACACTCTTTCTCTTAAATCTCATTTCATGTTTTTTTGCCTATGTATACATAAACAGATACCACTGTCCTCTGCAAACCAAGACCTCCAGCCTTTGCTCTCCAGCAAACGACGCCTTATTGCTCTCAACAAGAAAGATTTGGCCAATCCCAATATCATGCATGTACTCTTCTATCTCAACTTCAATCCTATGTACATGTGCGTGTAGTTGTATAATTTTGTGTGTGTGTGTGTGTACGAATTGATCGATTCTAAATTTATCTGAACTTCAATTCTACTCCAAGTTTCGGCTATGTTCCATTCGGGCTCCTTTTGGAAACTAGGCAAATAAGATAGAATACATAAGATGGAATGTCAATTTTTTTTTGATTGGTTGTTATGAACTTTATGAAGGGAAAGTAATCGAGAAAAGATTGCTCAGATGGATTGGAATATACCCATTTTTTCTTGTTAGCAGTGTCGGAATGTGGGAAACCTCATGGAGGGAAGAAATCAAATACATTTTATAATTGCTTTTTTCTCCCTTATTTTTCCCACTAGTCAATGGCTTTTCCATTTGCTCTGTTTTTGTTTTCCTTCATGGCCGGAGTGTTTTTAAAAATCAGTTGGAACATTGCGGTAAATGCCATGAGGTTTATGAGATTCCTAACTCTTATTGCATATTGGCGTTCTTTGCGCAGAAATGGATTCATTATTTTGATACATGTAAACAAGACTGCCTCTCCATAAATGCACACAGCAAGAGCTCTGTTAGAAAGGTTGGTGCTTTTATTGTTTGTTATTGTTGCAAAAGGTCATGATTCGTTTTATTTATTTTTGGTCAGGGTAGTTTTATACATGCTGGTTTACACACACAATACCTGTTGTGATGCTGTGATCATGTGCGTGAACATGAAGTTTTAACCTTGGTAGCCCACGTAAGCCCAAATGTATGTGCTTGCTATTAGTTTGTACTGTCTTGTTCTTAAGCATGAAAAATCTGCTGCATTATTATCAATGCATTGTGGTAGGTGATATGTTGACCCTACTGTTATTACGCTTCCAAGGAAAACCTTTGAGTTACTAGATTTTTGTTTTCTCTGTAACACGCAGACTTCATGAGAAACTGATGATAATTAAACAGGTTATCCTCCAACATATATTCACAAAATGGGCAACAGTAACTTGTTTCCATCATAATGTCATTATTATTGTTTTGTATTCTCAAGTGTATGTCGAAGCTTGGGCTTTGTAAGTTTCTTTTCTTTTTGTAATGCTACCTCAGTGTGAAGGCCCAAAACAGTACAGGCAATTTTGTGTCACCGACCTGATATCTCTTGATCATAGACATTAATTGGATCCCAATAGTACACGACCTATTCTTTGTATTGCCATTCTCAAAAATCATTTCATTCAAAGAATAAAGAAGCTTGGATTGGACCATTGCCAGAAGCTTTGAGACCCTCCAAGGAGCAACCTTCTTGGCAAGAAAATTTAAAGCTGAGTTGGTTAGTATAGGGATCCAATTGAGAGGCTTCTGAACTGATGAATGGTTAGGGTGCTTGCCCCTTTTTACTTCTAACAATTCACTCCATGGTAGTCCCTTTTACAGGAATTTCTGAGTTTCTAATAGTTGCTGCCTTTTGCAAAGAAGTATTACTTTCTTCTCCATTGTTAACCCCAAACATCTGTATTGTATCTTTGTAAATGCGAATAGTAGAAGTCATGATTATGGGCATAGCATTCAAGGCATCTATTACTTCTAAATGCCTTTTACTGTATTCGAATTGCATTATAGATATATTCTGTCTTGAGAATATGGAAAAATGGTTCTTTACTCTATTTACAATTGTTGAAGATGGTGTTGCATTTGTGGGAACATTTTGTGCCCTCCAATGGCATATGTAGCCAGTCATGTACATTTGAGACTAAGGACCACAACTTCTAGTGGATAGAACTAATAATACTATAATACGTCTTCCATATATATCTAATACTTTAGACTTGCTTCAACTTTTATGCTCGTATCTTAATTCTTCCATTATTTTGTCACATGTCCAATTCATGGTTTATGGGTGAAAGCTTCTCGATCTTGTGGAGTTCAAACTGAAGGAAGTAATCTCAAGGGAACCTACTCTGCTTGTTATGGTGGTCGGTGTTCCCAATGTTGGCAAGTCAGCTTTAATAAATTCGATCCATCAAATTGCTTCATCTCGATTTCCTGGTAAGATGTTTGCAGATTTTTTTTTTGCGTTCCCTCGCACCCCTCAGAAAAACAAATGCATTAGTTGGATCCAAGTGTATACTCAGTGTTTCTGGGTCTGAAACATTGTCTCAAGTAATGATGATTTCTTCTTAGTGCAGGAGAAGATTAAGCGAGCTACAGTGGGACCATTGCCTGGTGTTACACAAGATATTGCCGGATATAAGGTCAAGTTTTATACACTATTGTGCCCTTGGTCATATTCATTCTTACTGAAGTGCTTGCTGTACAAAAGGAGGTATTTTATCTTTAGGTATCTCAAAGGATGGATTTTCATAAGTGATTTTCTTACAATGCTCATTTCTTGTGTCATTGTTTTCCTCTTGGAGAGAGAGATAGTTCACCTAGTTTATGCATCCTAGAAAATTATGCAGTAGTGTGTTGGTTATTTCTAGATATGTTGAGACAAGCACTAAATGCTATATCATCATATACATTTGGCAAGTTGGGCAGGTGTGATTTGCATGCACGGATAACCTGAGGAATTGTGCTATAGTATGCCACGTATAACAGAGCACTACACTGTTTCTATAAAGATAGAATTACTCTCTCTCTCTCTCTCCCCCCCAGTGTCAAGGACTAACAGCTGCAGCTGTTCTGCAGTCTCCTTCCCTTTCAATTCTCTTTTCCTTGCTCCTCTCCTTTGCAATTTTTATAAGCCAAAAGTATTGAAGACCTGGGTTGTGATAAACTTAATTTCATAATAAAAATAATATACGTATAAAGCAGTCTTTTTTGGTGGTCAAATAAAAGTCTTTACGTCATTCTTTGCACTGGATGTGTATCAACACGGGTTCTCATGTCTGAGATTATAGTAACCAACCTTCATAAACGCATAGTGCCTCGCATCAAAATTAAAATTTTAATGTACATTATGTTATATTTTAGGGCGTGCAACTTTTAAGGGTATTTTTTGGTTATGTATATTGGGATGTAGGGGTCAGGCCATGAGAGATTTATCCTTCATGAATACCTAAGTCCCGATGTTGGTGTTTGCCTTTGATCAGATCGGAGAATGGATTTGTCGAGATGCACGTAAGTTGACCCAGACACCCCTAATCTAGGTGTGTAACCCTAACACATTACTGTCTTCTCATATTCTTCTCCTTTCTTTTACTCTTTTTTAAAATCTAGCGGATTCATAATCTAACTTGGTATCAGAGCACTGACCAAATCTAAAGTCTCAAAGTTGTTGGAATTGATTGGAAATCACCTCGGCTAGCAATGGATTCTGTCAGACGCTGACATGCTGACGTCAACACCTTTGTTTGGATCGATCCTTAAATCCCCATATACATATATATTTGCACCTTTTGATTGGTTGACTCGTCACTTCCCCAAGCCTCTCTCCTTTTGAAACTTGTGTTGCTCCTCTCTCTCTTTACCATAATTTCTAGTCTTAACATCTACATCACTAAGCTACCCTTCTCCACATCTTAAATAAATATTATAGATCGGAAACTTTTACACATTTCTACCAATTCGGAAGAAAATGATACCCATTTGTACCTCCTTATTTTTAGTGTGTTATCATGCCACCAAGGGGGAACATAATTAGAAGGGGAAGAGGTAGGGGTTATGGTAACCTAACTCCTGGGTTGAAATAGAGGATGTTGGGGGATCCAATATCAGAATCAGACATGTATACAATCCTGTCTTATATTCATTTGTCAACAAGAGAGATTGTTATGGGAAATTTTTCGGTGATCATCCTCTTTTTATGGAGGGGCCAATAGACATGTAGAGGCTAGAGCACCTGGGTATCCCAGCCAAGTTTAGAAGGTATCCCAGTCGAGTTTAGAAGGTACAACTAGCCCAACTTTGCCACGGGAAGCTGGGTAGAAGCGGTCCCTCAGGTACGAGAAATTTTTAGTAATGTTGAGGATTACAATGATAAGGTAATTAAAATTAAAGCTTTTATGAGGGGACATTGTTTTGTTGTCACTTTATCTGATATTGCTGAGGACTTGAGGTCATTGGATCACCTAGGGTGGCCAAGCTAGGCTATCCATACCTCACTAATGGTGTTCCTAAGTTGAATGTTGTTGCTAGTGAATTACTCTCACCATGTGCATCTTGGGTGTAATGGAAGAAACTTGGTGTAGCAGAAGCAGATGACAATGAGTATTGAATTTTGAATATTTTCTCTTGTAATAGCATATGGCCTCAAGTTAAGAATATAGTGCTACTATCTGTTGTGTTCGTTATGCTATTGGTAATGGGTTGAGATTGACTTGCCTAATCTGATTATAATGGAGATGTATGGGGCGATAGATAATGAGGTAGCCAATGCTTTTCTTCCTTTTGGAGGAATAATTAGAGCTTTGCTGAAGAAACATGGAGCGGAGATTTCTTTTGAGATAGAATATAAAGAATCAATGTTTGTGATATCTAGCAGTGCTGTTGGGAATATTACATAGCAGTCAGCGATACCTATTGATGGAAAATTAGGTAGAACTAATCACTAAGGTGGATGGGAAGAGGATGGACGGGACTAGGCTTGTGGATCCAACCGCCTAAGGATGAAATCATGCCTTTTCAACATCTCCATCATTGCCACTTGATTATTGAGCATAGTTGTTTGACTTGATATTAACTGCCTCAACATTTGTTGTTCCCGCTGGCTCCTTCTTGGGTCCATTTTTGGTGAGTGGTGTTGGTGATATTGTGGATAAGGAGAGATACCAGAGATTAGTGGGGAGATTGATATATCTCTCTCTCAATGGGATATTGTTTATGCTGTGGGGGTTGTAAGTCAATTCCTGTATGATATTCAAGTCCCACATCTTGAAGTTGTTTATTGTATGTTAGAGGTATGTCAAATCAACCACATGAAAAAGGATTTTGTTTTCTAATAATGGTTACTTGAAACTAAAAGCATTTACTGATGCATGGACAGGTTCAGTAGATGACAGAAGATTCACTTCAGGTTACTACACCTTGATAGAAAGAAATATTTATCACGTGCCGAAGTAAAAAACAAGTAATGGTAGATAAGCGTAGTGCAGAGGTTGAGTACAGAGCAATGACACATGGAGTTTGTGAACTTATGTGGCTCCAAATTCTATTGAGTGAGCTCGGAATTAGCGGTGATAGGCCTATGAGATTGTACTGTGATAACAAGACAACTATCAACATCGCGCAAAATCCAGTTTGATTTACACTTCATTAAAGAGTTGCTGCACAATGGTTTGATTTGTATGCCCTTTGTGAAATTAGAAAATTAGTTGACCAATATTTTCACAAAGAGGCTTAGTAGCAAGGTTTTCATCTTATCATTTACAAGTTAGGCATGAGAAACATTTATGCACCAACTTGAGAAGGAGTGCTACGTTATGTTATGTTATATTATATTAGGATGTGTAACCCTTAAGGGTATTTTTGGTACATTGTAGTTATAAGTATATATTTGGATGTAGCTGTATAACTTTAACACACGACTCTCTTCTCATATTTTTCTCCTTTTTTCCTCTCTTCTCTAAACCCTAAGGGATTCGTAATCTAACTTCTAATTTATAGATTAGCAAAGAAAGCAAGCTTCTGTGAGGAGGCCAGCTTGCTCCATAACAGATTCCTTAAGCTTTTTATTTTATTTTATTTTATATATATATTTTTATTTCTCTTCTCCTTTACATTAGTTAATTATATCTTCTCAATTGGCAAGCTACTTTAGTGGTCATTAAATCGATCATGATTAGATCCATGTTATCAAAATATCCAAACATAAGCTCTAACTTAGATGAAAGGTTTGAAATAGATTAAGTGGTTGTGTTTTCTATTACATTGACATACTTCCAGACTATTCATTCATCATATATTGGATGATACGCTATCAATGTTTTCACTAATTTTTGTTTGCCGTTGCATGCAGATTGCCCATCACCCTAGCATATATGTTTTGGACAGTCCAGGAGTATTGGTTCCTAGTATCCCAAACATAGAAACAGGGTTAAAGCTAGCTTTAGCAGGTTTAAACCTCTTTTAAAGCTTTGTTCTCTATGTTTGGTTGTGAATTTTCTTTCTCTACTACATCTTGCAACGTTGTTGACATGGTAGATTACATTTCCTGAGCATGTTCTTGACATGTGCCTGCCCAATTCTGGAAAATTCTTCTTGTATTGCGGAAGTAAATTGTACATGTGAAACCTCCCTCCCCCCCCCC